TTCTTTTTTGCTTTTGATATATTAGTACTCTTGTTAATAGTTTTCGAATTTTCCAGACATATTCTTCCTAAACATTGGCCGGATTTGAAAAAAAAATATGGTTATGGTGGTTGGATACAAATGGATCATTATGAACCGGTAATGTTTATTAGAAGTAACATCTAATCACTTTAAAAGTAGAATTTACATGTTAATATAATGAAGCTCGTGTATTCAAACTTAGGGCAAAGCAAGAATGCTTCTTGACGGAAAGAACTTTCGTGAAGTTCAATGCAATTGCTGGTCTGCCGAAGAAAGAATACGAGAATGCAATGCCTCTGATGTAGATGTTCAGGTATTTTCAACTTTTTATTTCATTATTCTTTAAATTACTCTTATTCAATTCATGCCATTAATTGTTGATTTGCTTGGAATTTAAAGGTTCTATCTACTGTACCAGTAATGTTTTCGTATTCTGCAAAACCTCAACACACGCTCGATTTGGCGCGCTATTTAAATGATCACATTGCGCAAGTTTGTGCTGAAGACCCAAAACGATTTATCGGTCTCGGGACTCTTCCTATGCAATCTTGCGAACTTGCAGTCGAGGAATTACGACGATGCATTATTGAGCTTGGGCTCGTTGGTATTCAGATTGGAAGTCATGTAAATGAATTGAATCTGGATGCTCCAGAATTGGAGCCTCTTTGGGAGGTGAGATTGATATTTTTGCATTATTTTTTCGGTGCTTTTTATGGCTGATCTTATTTTTTAGGCATGCGAAGAACTTAATGCTGCTGTGTTTGTACATCCATGGGTAATTGGTTTTTACTCTACCTGAGATTTTTTTATGATGCTTTATAAAATTTGTACTTTTAGATTTACAAAGTTATATTTAGGATATGGATAATAAAGGACGTATGGAAAAATACTGGTTTCCATGGTATGTATCTGTTTATTCGATCATGGATAAAATTATCTCATATCATCTTTAATTAATATTATTGAGTTTATGGTTTACTTATAGGCTTGTTGGAATGGTGAGTCTATTGATTTTATATTATTTTATATATCTATTTTTTAATTTTCATGTTTGACCTTTTACATTACATATTTATTTGTAGCCATGCGAGACTACCATTTCAATCTGTTCACTAATATTTGGTGGTGTTTTAGAACGACACCCAAAACTTAAACTATCTTTTGCACATGGAGGTGGCTCTTTTCCCGGGACCATTGGGCGAATTATTCATGGCTTTAATGTGAGACCGGATTTATGTGCCACAAAAATAACCAAAAATCCTCTGTATGTACGCATTTTAAATATTAATATATTTATGTATATGTATATTAATTTTGTTCATTTTATAAAGTGAATACATCAATCGAATATACGTTGATTCGTTAGTTCATGACGAGGACACCTTGAAATTCCTCATCAAAAAGATTGGTATTGACCGAATCATGTTGGGCAGCGACTACCCGTTCCCACTTGGTGAACATCATCCCGGAAAGTTAATCGAGGAATGTGACGCGTTAAGCGATGAAGATAAGGAGAAACTTTTGAGTGGCAATGCGTTGAAGTTCCTAGGAATCGAGAACAAAAAGGATATGTTTATACAAAAGTAAAAGAAACCAGCTAGCGAATATTTTGGTTACAGAGAATGGTTACGTGAATACAGTTATCCATTTTAATATAATAGATAATTTATTGTTTTTTTTTGAGAGGAATAAAAGGTATAAATTAATATTGTTTACATGTACAAGTACGAATACTATATAAATGCAGAGTATAGCGTGATGCAACGAAATACAACTTTTTCTTGATTGTAGTAACTTGGTCAATCTATATCTTCCTTGCCCAAATAAGCATACACACAAAGCATCTTCCTCGATTTATTATATAAGAAAGAATTGTAACTCTAAATTAATGTCTTTCATTTCACTTTAATTCACTCCAAATCACATTACTATCAAACAGAAGACTATCGAGTCTCATTATTCAATATAAGTCTGTCTCTGTAAAATCGACACTAAATCCTTGATCATGCAACAGCTTATTCCTTAACTTTTCCCGTTTCTGACGGGCATCCATCTCTTCACGTTGCGCACTCAAAATTTCCTCGACTGGTCGTTGACGTAATGGCACTTCGTCTTCTTTGTTTAGATCCTGTAAAAAGGTGGACTCGTTAGTTCACTTACAAGCTTCGCTGTAGGTATAACTAAATAAAAATATTTCTTTTACACACAATTTCTCCCAATAATACTACGTTCTCCCCACGTATAATAAAAATTCCGCGTGGAATATCCCCATACGCATCACCAACATAAATTCGCTCTATCGTATCTTGTAGTACTAGGTTTGCTTTTTATTTTAAATAAAATAGTCTCAATTTTATTAGAACAAATATATCAAAATGAATCACAAATTGATCCATTCAATTAGTCGAATTCATACCAAATTGATCGAATGACCTTAACACTCCAATAAGTTTTCTCCCATCTCTCAGAACCACCAGTAATTTTCCTTTGAACAAGAAAAGAAAACTTGATATAAGAGATTAAAATGAATAATTAAACTAAGAAATAGAAGTATTAATTCAAAATCAGGCAAC